GGCAGGAGAAACTTTAAATATCTGAAAAGAAAGAGAGAAGCCAGTGAACATAGGCCTCTCAGAATGAGGCTGGGAAAATAATTGAGAACTGAGAAATGACAAAGGATTTGAATAAATACTTTGCATTAGTCTTCACTAATGAAAACACTGATAGCATTCCAAAAAAACTAAATCAAGGGCAAAAGTGAGAGAGGAAAGAAATACAATAATTATTGCTAGAGAAGTCGTGTTGGGGAAACTAATAAGTCACGTGGAGCTGATGAGATGCATCCTAGGAAATTGAAAGAAGTATTGACAGAGATAGTAGATGCATAGTGATAGTGGAAGGTGAAGTTAAAGATTATCAGATAAACCATGATCTCATTGAATGTTGGAGCAGACTTGAATGGCCTCCTTCTGCTCTGACATCTTCTGGTCTCTTGTCTCTTCCTGTTGCACTTTGATTATCATTACTCGGATCCATTAAATGTACTATTACCTTGTCCTTTCTCTTTAACATTTTAAATTTCCTGTTGAGTGAACCCTCCCATCCATTTTTTAAGTCCTAATTACACAATTCATTGGTCCTCTGGTCCTAGCATGGTTCAAGCAGCATGGCTGCAGCAGTGGTTCCTTGGATCTCACCATCCCAAAGGTTCATTGTGTTCCAACACCACACCCACCCCGCCCCACATTGGCCAAAAAACTTTGGGAAACCTTTAGAAATTCCTTATTATACTTTCTACAGAACAGTGTCCCTTTGTACTTATATTGGCATTCATTTGCCAATTATAGGCCCATTCGAAAAGTGTATTAATGTCTGCTTATAGTTTGTGGCATCTCTTCCATTTATAAAATGTACACTAATTTGGTGTCATTTACAAATTTGAAATAGTTCTGATTCCTGACTCCAAACATCTTATGTTAATTGTGAGTGACCCTAAAACAATCCTTTTGAAATAAGTATGGATTTTATTTACTTTCTTACCAGTGATGCTAAGCTAATTGGTCTATAGCTCTCCAACTTGTTCTGTTTCCCTTTTTAAGTAGAGGAATCACATTTGCTTGATTAAATCAAATTAATTAGATTACTCTTCTGGGGTATAGTGTGCAGTTCTGGTCGCTCTGTTATGGGAAGGATATTATTGAACTAGAGAGGGTTCAGAAAAGATTTACTAGGACCTCACTGGGCATGGATGGTTTGAGATATAAAAGTAGACCGGAAGGACTGGGACTTTCTTTCACTGAAGCATAGGAGGTTGAGGGGTAACCTTATTGAGGTTTGTGAAATCATGAGGGGCATAGATACAGTGAATAACAAGAGTCTTTTCCCTAGGGTGGGGGAGTTAAAAATTATGGGGCATACTTTTAAGATGAGGAGAAAGATTTAAAAAGGACATGAGCAACACTTTTTTACAGTGCTTAGTGTGTGGAGTTAACTGCCAGAGAAAGTGGCGGATACAGGTACACTAATACCGATTAAAAGCCATTTAAATAATTTCATGAATTGGAAAGGTTTGGAGGGATATGGGCCAAGCACAGACAGGTGAGACTCATTTAGTTTGGGAACATTGTGGACTGAAGAGTCTGTTTCCATGCTGTATGACTGTATGATTCTATGACTCTAGATATTCGAGTGTTGATGACCATTCTACAGTTCAAACTTTTTAGTGCACTAAAACAGCATTAAGTCAGGTGCATAGCACACAAGGTGGGTTGCAGTTTAAAAATTCCAAATTGAGGTTTTTGTTGCAAGTTATTTGGAAAATTTTGAAAGCAAGTATTGAACAGAGTTAATTTGAATTTATGATTGAACTTTTACAAACTGCAATTGTTTGCAATGCATGTTCAGTTTGGTCACGCAGTTCCAAGTTATTATAAATTATTACAAATCCAGAGCTGCCTGGATGACTCGAGTTAGAAATTAAGATAAAATGAGAAAAGTTATGCTTATGATAGATGTCAGGTAGAAAATGCAATTGAGAACTGAACAACACAAAGTTTAGAAGAGAGATGAGAAGCAGAAGCGTATTATGAAAAGAGCATGGCAGCTAATATAAAAGTGAATCCTGAAGTCTCGCATAGTAGAAGAGTGGTAAAAGATTGAGTGGGGCTAATTAGTGACCAAAAAGGAGATTTATAAATGGAAGCAAGGCTGAGATATTAAATGAATACTTTGTAATTGTCTTTATTAAAGATGATGATGCTCCTCGGGCGATAGTGTCAAAGAGTGAAATAGTCATTCGAACAGTTAGAAATCCAAATATTGGACAAGCTTATGGTACTTGAAGTTGAGGCTGCACCAGGATTTAATGAGATGAATCCAAGCATAGTGAAAGAAGCGATAGTGGAAATTGTGGAGGCACTGTCTTAATTTTTCAATCTTGCTTAGACGGGTGTGCTGCTAGAGGACTGGAGAATTGCAAACATTATGTCCTTATTTAAAGAAAGGTTTGATGAGGGGAAGTAATGGTCTAGTGTTGTTATTATTGGTCTGTTAATCCAGAGACCTGGCTAATATTCTAAGGTCCAGGGTTTGAATCCCCCTATGGCAGACAGTGGAATTTGAATTCACTGACAATCTGGAATTAAAAGTGTAATGATGACCATAAATCCATTGCTGATTGGTGAACCAGATGGGTTTTCCAATATCCTTTGAGGAAGGAAACTGCCATCTTTGCTTGGTCTGGCCTATGTGACTCCACACCCACAGCAATGTGGTTAACTCTTAACTGCCCTCTGGACAGTTAGGGATGGGCAATAACATCCTCTTCCCATGAATGAATGAAAGGAAGGATAGCTCCAGCAATTACAAACCAGTCAATTTGACTTTGGTATTGTGAAAGCCTCGAGAAATAATTTATGATAGAATTAATAATCACATGGGCAAATGTCAGTTGATTCAAGAGAACCAGCATGAATTTCTTCATTAAAAATAATGTTTAACTAATTTGGAGTTCTTTTGAACAGGTAACAAAGAGAGTTGATTAGGATGGTGCTGCGGATGTAGTGCACATAGACTTCCAAAATGTGTTTGATACGCTTCCACACAACAGTCTTGTTCAGAGTTAGAGCTCATGGGGTGAGGTGATACATTTTAGCAGAAGGATTATGCAAAGATATTATAAAAAAAGGGTACTGCTCTAAAGTGTGTGCAAAAGCACAGAGACCTGGGTGTATATGTCTGTAATTCATTAATGGTGGTAGTACAGGTGAAGAGCAGTTAATAAAATATGCAATATCTTCCGCTTTATCAGTAGGGGCATAGAACACGAGCAAAGAGGTTATGATGAACTTGTATAAGGCACTAGTTAGAACTCAGCTGGAATATTATGTACAGTTCTGAGTGCCACACATCAGAAAGTGTGTGACTGCATTGAAGAGAGTACACAACAATGGCTCCAGGGATGAGAAGCTTCAATTATAAAGACAAATTCTGGAAGTTGTGACTTCTTTCTTGGATTGGAGAAGGCTAAGAGGATATTTAACACAAGTTTTCAAAATCGTGAAGGTCCTTGGTGGAATAAAAAGATCAAACATGAGACGGTGTAGATTTAAAGCAATTTTCAAAAGAAGCAAATGGAATGTGAGAAAAACCTTTTTCACACCGCAAGTAGTTGGGGTCCGGAATGTACTGACTGGAAGTGTGGTGGAAGCGGGTTCAATTGAGGCATACGAGACAGCGTTAGATGATTATTTGAATAGAAATAATGAGCAAGTTTACAGGGCAAAGGCAGGTGAATGATATTAATTTGTAATGCTTACTTGGAGAACCAGTGCAAATGCAATGAGGCAAATGGCCGCCTTTTGTAATTATGTGATTACCTGCCTGAAGGTATAGAATCTCCAGTAGTCTTAACAGGATGTGGGAATTTCAATCTCTCATGGTTGATCAAGATGGATGACGTGTCTCGAAGTGTCTCCAACTGCTCTAGTTCAAACTCGGGATTTCTGAGCATCAGGAGCGTGAGAGTTTCCTGGATCATGCTTTCTATAAGTTCCTCACCCGTAGGCAGTGAGGTCAGCATAGTAGGTGCGTGGCCATCTGGAAGAGTAGAAAAAGACCTGCAGTAGTCTTTGGACAGTGTGCTGTTCCAACAGATAGTCAATATTAGTGATTGCTGGGGTGATGATACCCTGATGAAATGCGTGTCAGATCCTGGAAAGAATGGATGGGAATTCTACTGGAAGGAAAAGCAAACTGTCAAAATATAATTACAGGGGATACTATTGTTAAGGGGGCAGACAGTCATCTCTGAAACCATTATTGAGAGTTCTGTTGTTGGTTCCCGGCACCAATGTAAAGGAGAGATTTGAATTAACTCGGAACCAGCACGGACCATGCTTGACTAATCTGATTTCATTTTTTGATGAAGTAATAGAGAAAGTTGTTGAAGGGAATGTAACGGATGTTGTTTATATGAATTCTAAGAAATGTTGGTGAGGAAAATTTCAGGCTAGTGGAGTATTGGTTTCAGGAGAGGAAACAGCAAGTTGCGGTAGATGAGTTTTATTCAGAATGGAAGGTGGCAAATGATGGTATTCCAAAATTGTAAAAGCTAACATTGTTTTTTCTGCTGTATACAAGTGATTGGGAAATTTGATTCTGAATTTTGGAATACAATGTTAACAAACTTGGAAGAATGGCAAACAGTGAGGATAATACAGATTGCCTACAAAAGGATACTGGCTTGGAGAGTTGATAAACAGATAGAACGTGGAACTTAATATGGATAAGTGAGGTGATTGTCATTTGGAAGGATCGCAAGAGGCAATGTAGATTGGCTGAATTCTTTTCAAACCAAAATGTGCAGTAATGGAAGTACCTGGGGCTACACGTACATCATCAGCCTTTGAAGTTGGCAGGACTCTGTGTGGCTCTTGAGCCATAAGTGACTTTATGACACTAAGAATTTCTTTCAATTTATCTCATGACAGCAACGCTGAAATGTTGATCTGCAAACAGTTTATTGTAAAGTATGGATCACTGTTTCAAATGTATCTTTGTTTATTTCCTGCAGGATATATTGGATGCCTCTACGTAGCAGTCTGTGAAAAATACGCAACCAAAATCTGAGCAAAAATGGAGAAAAAGATCAAGACTAACAGTCTTTCATGTGAAATTGCAGACCATACCTACCCATTTTCTCTTACAAAAATGTTTTGACATGTAGAATAGTTTTACTAGGTACAGATGCACTTGCTCATTCTCTTTCTGTACATTACACTAAATTTACTGAATTTCATTTTTATAGTACACTAACAAATTATGTTGGGTATAGTTATCAGACTGAGATATGTACTAGTCTGATAAAACTGAGTTTTTTTTAACGTAAAGTGCCTGTTTACTGCAACAACAGATTCCAGTTGTTTTGGACCTTCATGCTAACTTGAACTGCCTATTTCTGCCAAACTGGTTTCAAATGTGTAAGTATCGTATCAACCTTAGAGTATCATAGACACTTGGAGATCTGCTTGGCAATTTATGGGTACAGTTCCTGTGACATTCACCTCAAACGTTAAGGAGAGATACTAAATTAGTGAAGTTGTGTAACTGTTAAACCAAAAGGTGCAATCTTGCTGAAATGCAGACAGTTACTTACTACAGCCGATCAATGTCTGGGTAACCACTTCAACCTGTGCTAGAAAGTTACAAAGTGGTTATACCACACATAGTATCTTAATTTGTGTTATCTCCCTTACTAAATTATTGTAACCCAAAGCAAATAGTTGGGTGCCTATGATCCTGAATTGGGGATCATTGATAATATTTCTAAAGAATTTTTGTTCTTCTCAAGTTTCCTGCTGTCAGTGCAGAGTTATTGAAAATTTTACCTGTTGGACAAATAATTGTACTGGGATTCATTCAGACTAAATAGGAAGCTTAGCAGTTCCTCAATCAGTGCAGTGAGGTTCTTAAATTGTTCTTAAAATAAGTTCTTTTTTTTTTAAAAGAAACAAACCTGATCAGTAGTCTATTGAGTATCTTTGTGGCTGGTTCCTAATTGTAGTGATTTTCATCAGCCGTTAGCCCTAATAGGTATGGTGTACGTTTTTAACACCCATTTTCACCAAAAGGCCCAAGGCTGGCATTGATTAAGAGCATTAATGGGCAAAGAAGGGGAGTGATCTGTGTGCTTTATTTTCCCATGTGCCTTACCTGATCTGGGAGTGTTTGTTTTCTGTTTACAGTGCAGCCATTCCTTATATTGCCAGGCAGCATTATCTATTTAAACACATTGTCCATTTCAGGCTTCTATAACATTGTTTTGGTGATATGATTTGATGTCCATTGTACAAACACTGGAAACCTTAAAATCAAAATTATTGGGAACACTAGCCTTTGTGCAGAAGCATTACAGTAATATCTTGAGAAGAAAAAGAATTTAAGTCTTGAGTTTCATTTTTTGGCCAGAGGGAACCACGATGCTTTTTTAAAACTAATAAATGAACTATATTTCAGGTCTAACAATTTCCTGAGCTCCTCTTCACAACCAGAAAGCAAAATCAAGATTTATAGTAGTGTTTGGTAAGCAACACTGCTTAATTGGTAATTTGATTTAGGATTTCGAGTTTGTATCTTTTAACAATCTATTATAATAGAAGGTAGTTTGGGGAAGATTTTGCAGATAAATCAATTTAAAAATTAATAACTGCATCACAACCAAAACAGCTGCGTGAAGTTGGATCGTGCTTCCTGAAATGTGTGATAGTAATAAGTAAACCCCAGAGTTAAATGATGTATAATGAAAAGCGCAAGATGCGCCAATAAGAACATATTTTTTAACGTCTTAGGGCTTATTCTTCTGTCATTCTGGGTTCTACACCCTTCACTGTACATTGAAGGCCAAATTGCACTTCCCATATTAAAATTATTAACTTTCCATTTTAAGAAAGGAAAATCTTACAAGTAATTCATGTTTGGTTACAGCCTGTTCTGTTTCTTTAGTTTGTCAGCATTACCAACCCACATCACATCTCAGAATGGTGATTTTTCTTGGGAACACCAAGACCTACAGGAAGAAGTGTGCTGTTCAGTTTTAGAAAACTCCAGAAATTGGAAAGTTTATGTTACATGCAGATTTGTGTACCACATTTTACAACATTGAGCTCATTCAACCCTAAATACATGGTAACATGGAGTAAAGAAATGGGAGTGAAGCACTCGGCCCCTCAGGCCTGTTCTGCCAGAAAATTAGATCATTACTGATGTAGCATATTTTGGAGGCTTTGATAAATATTGGCAAATTGAACCTGACGTTCTGCACCTATTGATGATTGCTATTAACTGAAGACTTAAGTCAGATTTTACTTTGCTGAGATGTAATTGTATGATGGTCACATCTTGACCTAGGACCTTATTCTCATTTAATTTCTCTGCATAATATTAAACATTATAATAAGCTTAAAAGATTTTGACTTACTGGAAGTTTGAGCTGTGTTTTTGCTGACTTGGAGTTTGAATTTGTTTTATTGTTTTCAGTGCTTTTATACTTTTAGATATGGCACCCCCCAAGGTGTGTGTGATAATGTTAATTTGTTCTTCAATCTCTCTTCCCTTCTGAAACCTGCACCCCCTTTCATCATATTCAGGAACTCAATGGGCTGGTCCAAATGACGCTTATCACTAGGGTTTCCTGTTAACAGACTAGAGCATTTTTCCTTTTTTTTTCTACTCTCCTCTGAAAGCTTAGTTGTTGTAGTATCCTAAGTTGAGCATTACTGATCAATCACAAGATGTGTGGCCAGTGTCAAAAGCATTAATTGGCCAACTAAACAAGCTGCAAGTGAGTAGGTCAGAAATTCCAATGTAAATATGTTTCTCTAGTGTTATTGCATGGCAGCTTTCTATCAGAATTAATATGCTGAAGTACTGAAAAAAGTCTCCTCGAGACCTCCTACTGTTAGATTCAAGAACTGTATGCTCCACAAAATGCTAAAATAGTCGTGCTTTTGTTTTGCTGCATGTGATGTAAGCCCTTCTGCCAGAACACTAGTGAATCAGACATTATCTTTTTAAACTCCATAGGTTTACTTGAAAATTAATCTGAATTTTTCACTTTGTAAACACATTAGTATCCATACAGTTGTGAAAATGATTTTATTTAATGTTGACATGCGTTTCCAGTTTTGTGCAGTGGTCCAAATCGTTCTGTCAAAGCTGATGTCATGTTCTGATGTAGTTAAAGTATTAGCATTTGTGCAATGGCAGGGATTTTGGTTTGCATTTATCAAAGCATTTGCTGTGGTTTCAGACTGATGACCATTTATTATAGCCGTATTAAGACTCTGAGACACAGCATCTTTTTGCATCTCAGTTTTCAGGAATAAGGACTTTATATTTTCACTACTGAATGCTCTTTGTAGATGGAAATAATGTTTCTGTCCATTTCATCATATTTCCTGCCAAATCTATTGCTTTGTATTTGGAAGTTCAGGTTACAAATGTTATGTATTAATAATGTATGGTTAAAAAGTATAATTGAAAAGATGTATGTTTTACCCTGTTTGATATTGTATTTGTATTCGTTGTTCAATTCTCCCAGACTTGTGATTCTCTTAGTTCATTTCCTAGTCATCTCTAATCTGAGATTTTAATATGCGTTGATAAACTATTAATGTTTGTACTAGACAAATTTGATGCCATTATTTTGACATGTTCTTAATGTGTGAAGTTTTTAGAATGAGATCTGCTGAACTAAACTCCTCCACCGCTCCCCTAACCTCCTTCACCGCCCCAAAATTCTCATCCTCAAAAGATGCTGTCTGTCTTGGGCTTCTACATAGTGGAATGGAACTTTTCTCCTTTCTGCTGAACATGTACGTGAAGGCTCAGTTTATTGTGGAATATTTTTTGTGGGGCAATACATTTGTGATGCACTAAATGAGCATGCTCAGTGTATTGAGATTCAGGTAAAAATTAGTGTAACAAATTGAATGACAAAAACAGACTGTAACAATATTTCTGTGGTTTTGCAGAAAGGCATTGCTTGTGTGGGAACACTCAAATTGCACAAATAGCTTTTTAAAATAGCCCTATGAAGAATAATGATCTGTGTGATGAAATTCTGGAAGTATGTATTGTTTCTTTGAACCTAATATTTTCATCACAACAAACTCTTAATCTTTGTTTTGATATGTACAGTAGTTAGTGTTATTTTCATATTCTAGAGAAGTATTATGTACATGTTTTGATATTAGAGTGCAGGTTAACTAGGCTATTTTGGTTTGTAAAGCCGTGAACTAATCTTGCACTGACTATTTCTTCTCCTGTCATTTCCGTATTCACAATCTACAACAGCAATCGAGTATCTGGTCACTTAAGTTGGATAAAATTAATTGATTTCATTTTAGTTTTAATTATCATGCTGTAAAAGATCCAGCAAATCACAGAACTGATCTTCATTCTTGCCACTTCCTCTCTGCCCCTCCCATACACACAATTTGCCAAAAAAACATGGGCAGTAATTGTGACCGAGTGTTTCTAATGAACTGGGTTAAATTGGAACATTTCCCAGTTTTGTTTTCTTGTTTCACTCATCCCAGATTCAAACATTTGGCAGTGTTCTAGTTCTAAGTGATGAAAAGAAATATTTGAGTGTTCCCTTAACTGTGTACATACTGCATTATTTCCCCCTTTTTGTAACTCCAAAGTATGTCTTCTTAACTCAAGTGCTGGTTTGCTTTCATGATTGTGAAAATGGCTGGCTGAAAGTATATTTTTGCATGATGTAACTGCTTTTTCCCCATGAAGATGTTGACTTTTTTGTAAATAATATTGTCTTTTAAACTGGGAAACTTTCTGTAAATGAAAAGAATTTCTCTGAGCTCTGGGACAAAAGGAAAAGAAAATATACAAAGCACTGGTGACCTTTGATTTCTACGGTCATGTTTCTCCTGCATGCAGGAACATTCACCATGAGCCATTTTGCGTATTCAATGCAGTGAGACAATAAAAGAGAACCTATTCTTTAGATGACTGTGTTGTCTTGGGCTTTTCCACCTTGTGTTGATTTATTTTGATTTGGGCATAAAGAAGCCAAATTGTAAAAGGCCACCAAACTTCAGTCCTGACAGCTGCTTCAGTTGCAATTTGTTTCAAATTTCTGTATCATTTCTACTTATTTAATGCCATTAATAAACAGCTTGTTTCTCCTTCTAGGACTGCAATCTTTGACTAGTGGAAAAAGCTGTTGTGGGTGCAGGGAGATGAGTGAATCATAGCTTGAGTTTTTGAATTAACTGGGGTCAGTTGGTAGCATGTTTACCTTGAGTCAGAAGTTATTGGGTCTAAAGTACTGTGCCAGGATTTGGCAAAAGTGAAAGGTCATGCTCATTGTAGTACCAAGAATGTTGGAGATGCTGTCTTTCATAGATTTTAAAGTAAGATCTTGTCTTCCTTCTCAACTGGCCATTGAGAATCCTGTCACTGTTTCAGAGAGCTGGAGAGTAGTTAGCCGCAGTACGCTGGCCAATATTTAATGTGTTTTTATGATAGAGGAATATCTGGTCATGCTCATTGCAGTAATGACATATGACTGCTATATTCCCTACATGAACAACAGTGACTACACTTTGAAAGTACTGTATTGTTTGTAAAACATTTTGGGGCATCCTGTGGTTGTGAAAGGTGCTAAATAAATACAAGTCCCTTACAGCATGTTTTCTGGAAACACTACAAACCTCTTTTGAAAAGTAAATAAAATAGTTGTCTTTTGTTGTCAAAGCTAACTTGAGTTAAAACTTCCCCTTCCAAAATTAACACCATTCGTGTCTTGAAATTATTGTGGAGAGTAGTGTTATACAGAATTACAGATATGTTAAGGTTTGGAAAGACAGCATTCCTTCCTGCACTGGTTTTGAACATCATGACTTATTTCCATTTCCTTGCCATTTCTCTACACCTTTTGCACATTGTTCTTATTTAAATAATCATCTAATGTCCTCTTGCCTAAGTTGAATTAGACTCCTCCATACTTCCAGGCCTGAAAGACTTGCGTGAAAATTATACTTCACACTCGCATTGGTTTCTTTTGCAAATCGTTTTAAATCTGTGCCGTCTCATTCTTGGTCCTTTCACGTAAGGGAACAGTTTATCGCTATCTCCTTTATTCAGCCCACTCATGATTTTGAAAGCTATCACATCTCCTCTTAGACCTCTATCCAAGAAAAACAGTGCCAACGCCTCCAATTCATTTTCATAGCTGAAACTTTTCATCCTTGGAACGAAACTTGTAATCCTCTTATGCACTATTGTCAATGCGCTTACATCCTGACACTCAGAACTGTACATCATACTCCAGCTAATGTCTAATGTGTCTTTTACAAATTCTGCATAACCTCTTTGTTCTTGTACTCTGTACCCCTATTAATAAAGCCCAGGATATTGTATGCTTTATGAATTGCCTGACAACCACTGGACACCTTCAATGATTTGTGCAATAAACATCCAGGTCCACTTGAATCCTTTTTGAAATTGTGTCCCCTTATATTGTATTGTAATGCCAACATGCGTTACTTCACATTTATCTGCATTGAACTTCAACTGCCACCTATCTGCCCACTCCTCCAACATGTCTATGGCCTTTTGAAGTTCTGCATTGACCTCCAAGTCTACAGTGCTGCTAAGTTTCACATTGTCTGCAAACTTTGAAATTGTCTGCTGCACACCATGATCACACACCAGGAAAATCAAGAGTCCCAGTACTAACCACTAGGGAACTGCCCTACAAGCCTTCCTCCAACCCACTCAACCATTGTTTTAAGATCCATATTGCTACTGTTCCTTTTATTCCATGAGGTTTTCTCTCAGCCTGTTGTGTGATTCAATATCAAATGTCATACAATCATACAATGCCTTCTGTGCAGAAAGAGGCCATATGGCCCATCGAGTTTGTACTGACCCTTCAAAGACGATCCCATTCCCCCAACCTATCCCTGTTACCCTGCATTTACTATGGATAATCCACCTAGCCTACACATTCCTGGACACTACGAGGCAATTGTAACATGCCAATCTGCTAGTTCATGGCCAACTGAAAGCCCATGTACACCACCGACAGTTACCCTTATCAATTCTTACCTTTTCAAAATCTCCAGTAAGTTAATAAAATATTTCTATTTTAGAAAGCCATGTTGACTCATCCTAATAAACCTTTTTCCACTAATTTACTAATTTTATCGCAAATAATTGTTTCTAGAAGCTTCTCCACCACTGAAGATAAACTGCAAAGTTTCTGTATTTGCTGATCTTATTCTTGCAGCCTTTCTTTGAACAAGACAATATTGTCTGCAATTTTCCAGTGCCTCTACAATTTCCTACTCAGTTCCTTCAGTATCTTTGGGTACATCTTATCCAGTCTTTACCTTGTCAATATCAAGTATCAGCAGACTTATCCAACATTGCCTTATCAGTTTTGAGTTTTTTTTAAAATGACTGAGTTTCCCTTTCTTGTCATCATGTCCAGGGTAGCATCTACCTCTGTAGTAAAGTCAGATGCAAGGCATTAATTTAATACCTCAACTATGCCCCTTCTGTTTAAATCCCTTGGTTCCTACTCAGCTCTTTAGTGCTTTTACCACTCCTCTTCTGCTAATAGAAGACTTTGGAATTTCCCTTCATGTTGGCTGCCAGTCCTTTCTTGTAATTCCTTTTTAGTTCCCTGATTTGTCACCTCCCTTCTGAACTTTCTCTATTCCTCTTGGTTCTCAGTTGTATTATCTATCTGATATCTTTCATAAGCACACATTTTCTTTATCTTAATTTCTGTCTGCTATCATCCAGGGAGCTCTGCATTTGATTCTCTTATCTTTCCCTTTTGAGGGAGTGTACCTTAGCTGCATATGAACCATCTCTTTGAAAGTTGCTCAGTTTGTTTTTCCTGCCAACCTTTCATTCCAATCTATCTGGCTCAGCTCCATTTTTACACTTGTCTGCTCTCTGCCAATTGGTTTTTCTTATTCTAACCATTATTATTCTGCATTAGCATTCTAAAGTTTATGATACAATAATTACTGTTTCCTAAATGTTCCCCCACTGATACTTCATCGACTTGGTCTACCACATTTCCCAGAACCAAGTCCTATCTTGTTGGACTGGATAGGTACTGCTTGTAGGAAATTCTTCTCGACACAATTCAGGCACATGCACCTTATTGCATGACCAGTATCCCAATCTATATTTGGGCAACTGAAGTCTCTGATTATAACCAGTCTCTAATGTTAGCATCTCTCTGTAATTTTCCTGCAGATTGTTCCTCTACATCCTCCTTACTAGTTGGTGGTTTACAAACTACATCAAGCATTGTACCCTTCTAATTCCTTAGCTGCTGTCAAATTCTGAGGCGTACCACTTTATCCAGTACTGCTGTTCTCTCCTTAACCAATACTGCCAACTGTTATCCTTTCCATCGTTTATTTTTTATTCTGAATACCCTGGAATATTTTCCTCCTGTCCTTCCTTGAGACAAGCCTCTGTTATTGCCACAACATCATATTTTCACATGGCAAACTGTGCCTGTAGCTCCTCAATCGTATGCATTTACAAATGTGCACAGTAACATTAATTTAGATTTAACTACTTACCCTTATGCTGATGTCACCAATTAGTGTGAGAGTCATACAGCACAGAAACAGACCCTTTGGTCTAACTTGTCTGCGCTGACCAGACATCCCAATCTGACACAGTCCCAGTTGCCAGCTTTTGGTCCATGTCCCTCTAAACCCTTCCTCTTCATATATCCATCCAGATGCCTTTTAAATGTTGTAATTGTACCAGCTTCCACCGCTTCCTCTGGCAGTTTGTTCAATACATGCACAACCCTCTGCGTGAAAAACGTACCCTTCAAGTCCTTTTTATATCTTCCCCTCTCACCTTAAACATATGCCTCTAGTTTTGGACTCCACCCCAGGGAAAAAGACCTTGGCTATTCAGCCTTTCCATGCCCCTCATGACTTTATAAACCTGTATAAGGTCAAATGTCATCTTCTGATGCTCCTGGCCTATTCAGCCTCTTTCCTAAAGCTCAAACCCTCCAATCCTGCCAACATCCTTGTAAATCTTTTCTAAACCCTTTCAAGTTTAACAAATTTTTTTTTATAGGATGGTGAGCAGAATTGTACGCAGTATTCTAAAAGTGGCCTCACCAATATCCCATATGGCCACAGTTCCCAGCTCCTATACTGAATGTTTTGATCAATGAAGGCAAGTGTACCAAACACCACCTTCACCCTGCTGACCTGTGATGACTCTTTCAAGGATTTATGCACCTGCACCCTTGGATCTTTGTCAACATTCCCCAAAGTCCTACCATTAACTGTCAGCTTAGAGCATAGTAAGCTATCTGTCTCTCCAAATATTTTATGAACTCTGGTATTTGCTAACATTTGGTAGGGTTCATGATTTCCTCCATATTACAAGCTATGCATTCCACTCGACTGAGCTGTGCTGACACATTTTACCTTGCATCACCTGGACTCTGTTTTGTATTACTTTTGTAACTTTATTGTATTGGCCTTGACTTGTCCTCATTCGTGGTGTTTCTCATCAAGTGTAGCTACATCGTTAAAAGTAACATACATTTCTAATTTGCAGCACTTTAAAGACAGTCTCTAATAATTTCCTACCAACGAATGAGCTTACTGAAAAGAGTAGAAAGAATTTCTCCCCACCCTTCACCAAATTTTCCAATTAGCACCCTTTAAATCTGACAATAGAACTTACTTAAAGTAGTACTTGTTCTGTCAGACTGAATTCCCATGTTGAACGAAATTTCCTGTACTCTCTGTCTCACACACACACACACGCATACACACTGAGACTGAGAGGAGTGAATAGTAAGTCAGCATCACTGAACTGGACGAGGAGAGCAGATTTGAATTGGACTTGGGAGGTAAATAAGGATTTTTTTCTAGTTGATAGTCCACTTTGACTCAAAGAGGAACTAGTCACAGCATGATGAACAATGGCAGTGGA